CTCCTGATACATTTATTTTATTGGATCTTTTGCCATTGTTTGTTTCATTGTCTCATTCTAAGATATCCTTGAGAATTTTTTGGAGTTTTGGTTTGGTGGTCATGAATTTTTTCAGATTCTCTTTATCAGGAAAATATCTTATTTCTCCATTAATTTGGAAAGGTAATTTTACAGGATATAACCCTCTAGGTTGAAAGTTGTTTTCTTTTAGAGCTTGAAGCACTTAATTCAAAGTTCTCTTTGCCTTTGAGGTTTGTGCTGAAAAGTCTGTTGTATACCTAAAAAGTACCAGTAAACTCAATAAAAAAAGTCTGTTGTAATTGTAATGAGGTTTCCTTTATAAGTAATGTGTTGCTTTTCTCTAACATCCCTTCAGATTCTGTTCTTGTGGTGGATTTCTGACATTTTAATTATTATGTGGCATGGAATATTTTTTTATCATGGCTATTCAGAGTTCCATATGTCTTGTATGTCTTATCTGTATGTTAAATTATATTTCTGTATCTGGAAATTTTTTTACTATTACGTCTGTAAACAGGTTTTTTATGCCCTTTGTACTGTCCTCCAGTTTTTCATTAATTCCAGTTACTCTTATATTAGCCTTGAGTCATCTGAAAGCTGCTGGATCCATTTCTTTTTTTCATGTTCTCTTGTTGTTTGTTGTTTGTGTTTCCTTAATTTATTATTGACTATAAATCATGCCCTGTAGATATGATGCTGTCTTCACATTGTTCATTTCTGTTGCCTATACTTTCAGTCATATTTTTAATCTCCTGGATTTCTGTTTGGAGCTTTTTTATTGACTCCCTCCTCCCACTTTTTTTTTCCTATGCAGGGCATTCATGTTTTGCATCTCCTTCTTTAGCTCCATTGGATTTTTGTTAGTGTCTTCTCTAGACTCACTGGTCGTTTGTTTCATTAGGGTCATTATCTGGTGAAATATATCTTCTCTAAACTTTTTGAGCATCTTATTGAACTGTTTTACCTCCACTGACACTCTTGGACCTTTCTGCTATGGCTTCTGATTCCTCCCTATTGCTGCCCGCTGAAGCAGTTTTGGGAGGAGTTGGGAGTTTTTACAGGCATTTTGTTGCCTTTCCTATTCATGTTCTTATTTTTTGTTTTTTGTTTGTTTGTTTGTATTTTGTTCTGGGGTTTACAGCTTCTGTGGTCCAGTGCCCAGTCTTTCAGGACTGAGCTGCAGTATTGCTTGTGATGTGTGGGCAATGCAGATAGTGGCATACAGAGAAAACCAATTGACGGCAACAATTATAGCACAGTAGATAGAGGAGTAAAGTCAGCCGCAATGGTGTCAAACATCAACTGCATCCTGACAAACCTTAAGAACCAGTTATGAACTTCCCTTAACCAGGACAAAGAAGTCTATGATTTTATGAAGACATTTAGACCACCCAGATGCCTATAGTAATTCAGATCACTAATTTCTACTAGATGTAGACAGTGGGGCAATATCTCAAGCTTACCACTGGACTAAATGCCATTTCTTTCAGATTCACCAGATTCACCACCTCTGAAGATCATACCCACCAAACTTGGCCTCCTGCCATGGGTCTACAGGCCCCAAGTGCTTCCTGGCCTGACCCTAAGCCTCCCAGGGATTCCAAAAGACCCCTGTTTACTTCTTACCTTCTCTAAGTTCATCACTCAAAGCTGTCTCTCACCAGGTCTCTGTGGTAGAGAACATTTCAGTACTGGAGTGAAATTCTCCTCCTGGGTGTTATCTCACCTTCAGTCAGGTCAGCTTTTGCTTGTCACTTCTGCCAGCCTGTGTCGTGGATAACACAGCAGCAGAACTGGCTAGGATTTGGTATTTTGGCTGCTCTCCTCTTGCCTCCCACACAGTAGTTACAAAGCCTACGTTATCAGTAGCGGGATTGGAGGGGCAGCAGAAGGCTTCTTTTCTCCTGCCTCCTACGTGGGTCTTATGGGGCTGGTTCCCCCGTGGCAGTGCTGGAAGGTGAGGGGTGTGTGGCTCCCCTGCTCCTGCCTCCCCCAGGGATCTTGTGGGGCCAAGAGCCTGGTAGCGATGTTAGTGGGGGCAGAAGTTCCACTGTGTTCCTGCCTCCCACATAGGTCTCACTGAGCTGGGGATACTGTGGTGGTATCAGTGTCAGTCCTTATAATATTAGGATGAAATTTTTGGGTGGACTGGTAGAGATACATATTTTTATAGGCAATAAAATGTTACAAGTCTTCTAAGTAATTAATAATATAAATCAAGAACCTAATAAATGTTTCCATTTTGGGGAATGCATCTAAAGGAAATGATAAAATTAGCAAAAAGTAATTGGTATTAATGTGTTCATTAAAGCACTATTAACAATATAAAAATAATACAAATAGCCTAAATATGCACCTATAAAATAGAGTGGTTAAATAAATTATAAAGTCATAGGAATTAATATTACATAACACTAAAATAGCAAGTGTGGAAACACTAGTAGAAATGCTTAAATATAATGTTAGGAAAAAACAAGTTCAAAGCTGCATAAATTCTATATACATATACATATATATAGGTGTGTGTGTGTGTGTATATTTACAACTCTGAAAAACAAGTGGACATATAGAGATTTAGCAAAATAAAATGAAATGTGAACACATTTGGAAAAAGATAGGCTTTAGTTCAAATTCTGGCTCCACATTTGTAAGTTGTTAATTTCTACACATTATTGTGCTTTGCTTTCTTATATGTAATGCACACATATTCATATCTATCCTATAGAGCCATGAGAATTAAATGAGATAGCTCTGTAAAGTCTGAAAAAGGGTAATAGAATTATGGGTGATGGTTTTGTTACTTTCTCTTACTTTTATTTCTAATAATAGTCAAAATAAATGTGTATATTTAATATATAAAATATCCTGTTATGGGGCACATAAAGATAGTAAAATGGTTACTGTAGTGAAGTAAATTAGCATATTCATCATCTCACATAGTTATCCATTGTGTTTTTGAGGCAAAAACAGCTCAAATCTACTCATTTAGCATGAATCCCATATACAGTATAATTTTATTACCTATGGTTTTCATGTTATATGCATGACCAAACTTGTTAGTCCTATATATATCTTTTTTATTTATTTTATAATGTTTTTATAATAGAAAATATATTTTCAGTTGCTATTTACTACTAAAGTTATATTCCATGCAGAAATATATACCCTGTGGTATTGACTATATGGCTAACTGAAGGAATATAAATAATTATTTTTATTTAACAATGAACAACTCCTAGTACATAGTCTGCTAAATTTATTAGTTTATCTATTTAACAGATAGCTTTCACTATGTGACAGTCATTGTTCTACATACTATATTCATTCAGTCCTTAAAGCAATCCTGTGGAAAAAAAAAAATACTATTGCTATCTCCATCTTACAGATAAGAACTGGCATGTAGAACAAGTTAAGTAAAGCTAAGCTGATCACATCAGTAGATGTGGTTAAATCAGTTTCTCAACTTATGCAGCCTGGCCTCACTGTCCCAGTCCTGAGTGCAGTGTTGCATTTTCACTATGAATTAAACATGCTGGCTGAATATCTGGAGTGCTTGCCATGGTGAGAGACATAGGGAACATAGAGTACCATCCTTGACTTGGAAGGCAGCTATGCTAATCACCAATGCAACCATCCTTGATTTGGAAAAGGTCATTCTCCAGGCCTTAGCTACAGTCTCAAAACTCTGCTCCCTTAGCCATAGAGAAATGTCATTCACTCCACAATCAAATATTAGTCACAAAGAGACACCCCTTTTCACTTGTAGCAAACTATATTCTGATTAAAAATTTCTTCAAGCTACAATTTGACCTCTGTTGCAATGTCCTAGAGCATGCTGAAAATTTGTTGAGCTTTGTGAGTGTGCCTAATGTTCTACAACAATTGGAACAGGTTTTCCTTTAAATCTGTATCTATTTATTCATATACCACATGTATGTGTAATTAACACTCCAACTAAATAGCAACCCAGTGCTACAAACTAAAGCCACACACTCATTTGTATACATGCTTCCTGTTAGATTATTACTGTCTCTCTCAGATGATGCTGCTTCATTTCTTTCCAATTAAAGAATATTCTGAGATTATAAGGCAAATTCTTACAAATCTGAAAAAATATACTACAGTGTTTAAGAATAATGGCTCCAGGATCAGAGAGTCCAGATAACATTCAAGCACAGGTATTTTCCATGTTACTTTAAGTAAGCCTCTAAATCTCTTTGTACAACTTCCCTATCATTGAAATGAGGTTTACCTCATAAAGTTGTTAGAAATAAGAAGCATAAACATGTGAGATGCTTGAAAAGGATATTCAGTCAACATAAATACTCAGTAAATGTTAGATATCATCATTTTTATTTAAATTACCAACAAAATCAGTCCTTTCTTGTTATCCACAACCAAAACAAAATAAGGACTTACATTAAATTTTAAGATTAGTATGCAAGTAGAAGTTATATTTTTAAAGCTTTTATGTTTTCCAAATAGCTGAAATATTACTGATTAATTTTCAAATAAGTGTTACAATTTGAATTAAAATGTAAATATTTGGTAATTAAATATTACTCTGATTTATAAATTAGGCTTTGCATAAAATCTGTGGGGGAAAATACTTTGCAGCTAAAAGACGACATGCAGCACAATAAAATGTATGTTTTATACTGTGCTCTCTCACTCTGGGAGGTTGACTTTTCCAAATACGTTTGTTTCTTTTTATTTCTACCTCTCACTTAAACCTTACTTTGGAATAACATGCTTACATCAAATTACAAGAAAATATTAATTCCTCATCTGGTAGAGGACTGTGTTTCTGTGGATGATTCTACTCATCACCAAAGATTCAGTCACCACTGTGTTTCCTTCAAGATTGATTCTTTACTTGACGATAGGACTGGTTAAAATGTGTGAAGACATTTTACTTAGTTTTTGAAAAGATATTTTAAATAAATGGTCTGTGTTTTGTTTTTTCTTTTTTCTTGTAGTCATTCCCAACACAGCACTGCAACCCGTCAGCCTTCAGTGACTCTCCAAAGGGCCATCTCTCTGGAAGGGTAAGATAATAGTACCGTCTTCTCTTAAATGAGACTGCAGAGGCTTCAGCCATCAAAAAGAAATGTCCTTCCTCCTTCCCCCATCTCCCTTCCTTCTTCTTCTTCCCCGCTCCTCTTCCCTTTCTTTCTCTTTTCCCCTTCTCTTTCTCTTTCTCTTCCTTCCTCTGTTTCTCTTCTCCTTCCCTTTCTTCTGTTCCTCACTCACTACCCCCTCAACAAACACCCATAAAGTTCATGTTATGTGCTGGATACTTTGCTAGTTAGTAGATTTAACAAGCCAGAGAAGATCTCATCTTTCCCTTCAGAGGGCTCATTGTCTAGTGTGAATAATAGAAATGCAAATACACACAATGTGTGCATCACACTGTGCAAAAGGTATATATAAGGGATTGATGGAGGGGCATTTGATAAAAAACAGGCATCGAAGGGCAGCAGAAGAAAGTTGGAGTGGCTTCAGAGAAGGTATAGCTCTTAGCATTGAGCTACTGCCCCAGGCCCAGATACAACTCTTAAACCAAGAAGTGAAACAGCTGTGTGTATTTGCCCAACAGCACAAGTTCATGGATATTCTTTTTAAGAGAAGATGAAGACAAACCTAACATTTGTTGAGTAGTTTATGTAGTTTATTAAGTGTCAGGCTTCCTCTCTCTCTCTCTCTCTTTCTAGATAGATAGATAGACAGACAGACAGACTACTATTCCTCTATCTTCTCTGATTTTATTTCCAAAATGTTCTATGTGATAGTTACCTTTATTCTAAACCTTGATTCTCATAAATATTAAGTAGTTTTCCTATGACACTTAAATAAAAAGTAGCACTGCTTTGATTTAAAAGCTAGTCTAGGGCCAGGGATTTAGCTCAGTGTTGCCGCTGCCTGCCTTGCAAGTTCAAGGTCCCAATTTCAATCCCCAGTACCAAAGGGGGGAAAAGAAAAACAGTCGGACTCTACTCTACAGACATACCCTTTGTAATATGGTATGAAAAGACTTTATTGATCAGGAGAACATTGGTTATACAATCCATAAAGCCCATCCAGTTCAACTTACCCACAGTAAAGAATTTTCTATGGTGAAAAATGAGCTAGAATTGACTCTAACCTTAAAAGTCATTTAAAAGAACCAATGTCCTACTGTTTTGGATGGTCTGGAAGTCTAGGTATACCCTATGTGGTTAAGGCATTTATAGTAGAGGTGAGGGTGTGAACACAGATCTCAGGGTGGTTACCATTGCACATTTTGGTCATAAATATAAAGACTTCCTCTGACAATGACATTTCTTTTGTCATCCCGGGGAACAGCACCACTGCTTCATTGGGCAACTAGTTCACCACGATCATAAAATTCAGTATCAGAATTGAATTAAAGGTACAAAGTTTGGAAAAGAAGACTTTATTGGCAGCAGGAAAAGGAAAAGATAGAGAGCTACTCTGATAAGTATCGGGATAAGCGGATCTGGAAAGATGGAAGATCCGTGGGCCCTTTGTCCTTGGCCTGTCTTATAGGGGTCAGAGACCTTTCCCACCACCCAAAACTTGCCATAACTCGATTGGCTTCCAGGCAGGAACCCTTGCCTATATCATTTCTTCCAGTGGTCTATGTGTAGCTTCTGCTTACTTAATGTTGACAGGGTCTTATCTTTGAAGAGGAAAATTGATTGGCGAGGTGGGTGCCTTATTCATGGTAAGGGGGCATGTGGATATGTATTGTATGACTATAGTGACTCTAGAGTGGATAATACAGTGACCCTGAGCAAATACATATGTATTTGTATATATGTATGTGCATTGGTCCTTACTGAATAAGAGCTTTCCCTAGAATTGGTCTGTGCCCTCTCATCCCCTTGCTTCCTCTGCACTCTGCTGGAAGGTGGGGTTTTTGTGCACTTGGCTTTCTCAGTGCTTGGCCTGTCAGCTAACTCTTTCTCTCTCTGATACGTTCCAATGCTACCTGTGCTATCTGGTGCTTCTCCATATCTGGTTTTTCTCGTTCTCTGCCCCTGTTCCTGAAATGCTTCCAGGAGTATTCTCTAGTAAAATATCTCTTGTAAAGTTTTAACTTCTTCTAGTCACGATTAGCTAGAAAACTAATGAAGCCCTTACCCTAGCTAGTCTCTCTGCCTTTCAGATCCCCACCCCTATACTTTCTAAAGCTGTTTCCAAACCTTTCCTTCTTATTAGCAAATTCTTATTAGCAATTGGCTTATAAGGTTTTTTGTGTGTTTGTTTTCCACTTGAGCTAAATGGGTTCTTTTGTAGACATAATCATTAATTCTAATTCTCTGATAAGATCAAGTAACCAAAGGACAGAAAAATATAGAACTCACCTACTTTTTGTAATAGTAGAAGGTATATAACTAACTTTTTTATAAGTACTACTTGTATGCTTACTTCAAGTGTCTTGGAAAAAAGCAAGATTAATTTTTATGATCTAGATGTGCTTGTGTCAAACATTTCTAAGTATAAAATAAAACATTTAAAGTTGAAGTCCTCCCTCACTGCTGCAATATTTAGGAAAGAAAATCTCAACAATTGTCTGCAAAGCCCAGAGCATTAAAATTCTCTGGGCCCAGCTGACTATCTGAAAGAAACACAAATGTGGTACAAAATTAGTGTCACTAAACACATAGTGGTAAAATTATTTACATAGACCAATGAGTCCTTAGCAGTTTTCCCATTAAGGTGTTAAACTGTTTAGTGTAGGCAATCAGGTCAGAATAAAATTCCTCTTATTTCTAAATTCTTCCATCTAATGCTTTTGTGGGAAGCAACCACATAGGATATTTTAAAATTGGAAGTAGTTTAAAAGGCCATATGCTGACACAATGTTTACCTAAGTTTATATTTTCTTGACACAAAATAAATAGAGATATCACTAATTTCCAGTTAATTTGATCCATGAAGATAACAAAACTGTTCAACTGAGCCCTCTACCACAGAGTTGCTACTGGACACACAATCTCAACTTAATATCTGAATCATCTTGTAGCCATACCAGATAAAGTGAGGCAGAATAACATTCCCATTAACAGTATTTCTGGGCTTTTCATTCAACTTGACAGACACCACCCACACCTTAATCTCTTCTTCCCCCTGAGACTGCTGAAAGGAAGCTACTGGAATTTTAAAAGGGTCAATCCCATAGTGGTGAAGGGAATGGAAGAGTATCAAAGGTGAACGTGTCACATTTCTGGATAACTAAAAGCTGATGAAAGGATTTTGATGGGTGAGGCAGAAAAAAGTAGTCTCAGCTTTAGGCTACTCATGTGCGGCCCAACTCCTGGGGTACGTTCACATTTGGGACAACAGTTGCCCTTCTCTGTGAAGATTCATCCCAAGATTCGCCAGTTGGAAAGGGTAGACAGTACCAAGCCCCATAATTGGTGCTTTACCATCTTAACTGAGGATTTATTAGGTACAGGGCCCATAACTTTTGCAGTTAAAACTTATCAATGGCTTATTTCTGGAGTTATCTATTTAATATTTTCAGACCATGTTTGACTATGGGTAGCTGGAACCGCAGAAAATGAAACTGTAGCGAAAGGAAGATTCCTGTATTCTGTGTGAATGACACCCGGAGTAGTGTCTCCAGGGCTGTCGCTCACAGAAAGCTCTTTACAGGGCAGTCACACTGTGCAGAAGAGGTCCTAGCTCAGAAGACGGCAGGTCTGCTGAGCAGAACCCTGGTGACTCAGAGATGTCAGGGAGGTGATGCAGACAGGACTGAGAACAGACTCAGAGAATAGGAATGAACATTAATGTTGCCTTCCAATATTAATATTTTGGAGACAAGAGGTTGATTTCTGGACTTCTGATAATATTTCAAGATATGGAGGCTAAGCTGGCTCTAACTAACTAGCTTTTGAGGACAGTTGGCTTGAGTCAGCTCTACCCACTCTCTGATTATTTAGCATCAGTCCTCAGCTTCCTCCAGTATTCTTCTGCCCTCCTATCCTAAAAGCAGTGCTAGGTAATGTCGGAGAGAAGTCTGATGTGCTGATTCATGCAATGAATGGCAAATGTGCCTTTTCACACTTAAAAGGGAAGGGTCCTTGCAGGCCCTTTTACTTGCTAAGATCACGGGTCAAAGATCAGAGCCAATATTTCCCACAGACATTTAAGTGCCTGCACCAAAATAAGACGGCAAGTTGGGTTAAATGGGGAGGATTTTGTATATCTTTAATAAATACTATATATAAATGCCACTCTCCTTTTTATTTTGCTCTCCTTTTACTTGAAGAGTTGATTTGTGGACACTGTAATACAATTAAGAAGATGAGCAACTACCTAGTATTTGCTTTTCAGAAATCTTCGTAAGAAATGAAACTTTTTTCCCCTAAAAAGTATTTTTGTTTCTGATTTGTGATTCAGCAAAGACAGATGGGCTTCTCTGGTGAAAAGGCTCTGAGTAAGAGTCCCTCTTCCTCGGGCAGCCAGCTCATCTGCTGAAGGATCCTAGCTGACTGGGAAGACTCAGGGAGTCTGCAGGGCCTCCTTCCGTCCTGGGGGAGACCAGCCTGCAGAGCTAAACCTCAGTGGCCTCAGTTACATGACAGATAACCTCAGACCATCTGTTTCTCTAGTTCTCCATCATTCATTTCTCCTGCTGTCCAGCAGTTTCCACCTCTGATCTGTTCTGTTGGCCTACTGCTTCTTTTTTCCACTTTCTTAAACAAGAAAACCTGCTTGTAATATTTCTTGTTTACATGTACAGAGCTGAAATATAAAAGGTGTCATCACAGCAAACTTTAAGGAGTGCCAAAAATTTATCCGTGTTGAAAAAACAGAGGCTGCAGAGAACTTAGAAAATATTTAGAGCTATTGATGCGTAGATTCTAGTTCTCTAATAGGATCTGCATTTCTTATGCCATCTGCTGTTGCCATAGTAGTGGTATAAAAATAAATAAGCAAATTTTTCTTGTGTGTTTCGTTAATAACAGAACAAATAACTTTCATAACAAGCTGGGTAATTTCAAGGCCTACAGCACTGAAACTCAGTGTAGCT